TTCTCTGTCTGTCCGTCAGTTCCATGGCCCGGCTTTGTGCTGTGTCTGCAGCAGGCTCTATGCCTGTAAACAGGGAGGTTAAGCCAAGCTCTACAGCCACAGGCAGCCGTCAATCAGTACTTGAGATTGCCCGCTGCTCTGCACTCCGGCTGGAAACAGGCAGTCTCCAGGCCTAAAAATAGCTGAGGTGGAGCCGAGGAAGAACAGCAGCCCTGCTCCTGACAACAGAGCAGAAGAGACAGGCACTCTCTGAGAAGCCCTGCTCCCAGAGGCAGAAGTGGCTGAGAGTGTGGACAGCTGGCAGTATGGATGCTACCCGTGGTCAAAGCCTGCCACGTTTCTGGGTCTTTTGGATAACCCTGTGGACATTCCTCCTCACTCAGCCAAAGAGCTCAGTATGCAGGGATTCTGTCATGGAGGGACATGAGCCCGCTGCACAGGGACATCTCCCAGGCTGTAAATGAAGTCTGGTGCCAGTTCCTGAGAAAAGCAACAGCCTCTCCCCTCCTCCATCAGAGTGGAGCTGGAGGTGGCATGCTGACCTTTGCTTCCCACCTGGGCATTGTGGGAACAAAAGCAGCGTGCGGCTTCAAGACCAAATGAGGTTTGGCAGCCACCAAGTGAGTCCCAGCTGTATTTGTGGTTTTTCCCTGCAAGGAGAGCTCTCTACCCACAGTGTTATTGGTTACTGTTCCAGGAGCAAAGCTTTGAATACCAAAACAGGAATCCTTTCCAAGCACTTGTGATAAATCCATCCATGCAAAGAAACCTCATCAAAGGGCAAGGAGGCACAGCCCCAGAACGGGAAGGATGGCGCTGCTCTCCTCTGTTCATTAGGAAAAGCCTTCCCTCAGGTTGGCCTTTCTCTCAGCTGCATAGAGGGGCTTGGTCCCTCCGTGAAGCTGTGAGGTGGGCTGCCCGGGTTCCTCTGCGGATGGGGAGCCAGGGTTCTGTGCCCAGGTGATGACTTTCCCTGAATCGTGGCAGGTCATCACAGAAGCAGGGCTTTGGCTCAGCCTCTGCCCTTCCTTTAGACACCCTTGGTTTGGTTTGTCTTGTTTTTCTCCCTAGCGCAGTCAGCTTTAAAAGACAAAGCCTTTTAACGTGGAGCATCCTAAAATGTGGCATGAATTTAAGCAAAAGTGAGAAAGAAGGGAGCCAGAGGCTCCACTGAGCCGTGTAACCTTGATGCCAGGAACATTTTTCTTGGCATGGTCCAGCAATTGTGACATTGAGCCCAGAGACAAAAATATAACGCTAGCACACCATTGGCCCAGCATTAACCAGTATTTAGACAACCTCAATACTATAAACTCTGTGTGTTGATTTTCTAATTTTGGAGGCAACTCATGAAGGAAACAAAAAAAATTCTAGTTATCATTATAAGATAAAATATAAGCATTAGTTGCCATTATGAAATGGCATGCAAATTTATTTTTTATGTGTCCAATATAAAGTGAGAGAAGGAAGATAAAGAAAGAGAAGGCAGAGATGAAGTAATGTGGAATGCTAACAGGTATATGATGTGTGGATGATGGAATTAAAACAGCTAAATATGGACTGGAGAGATGACTTAGAGGCTAAGAGCACTGACTGCTCTTCCAGAAGACCAGGGTTCAATTCCCAGCATCCTCATGGCACCTCACAACTGTCTAACTCCAGGTCCAGGGGACCTGACATCCATGGCAAAACACCAATGCCTATTAAATTTAAAAAAAAAAAAAATAAAAACAGCTAAATATAATTTAGTTGCAAAATAAAATATACATAACAGGTGTTGGAAGGAAACTCGGCATTAGAGAGTATGCATCCTCCCTAGAGAATCAATGGATGCCTTGGTTGGGTGCCTTTTATTCCAAGGTTCATCCAAGGATATGAAGAGGGCTGGAAAGATTGCTCAGGGGTTAAGAGCACTTGTTGCTCTTACAGATTCCCAGCAACCCGGTGGCGACTCACAACCGTCTCTAACTCCAGTTCTAGGGAATCTGATGCCCTCTTTTTGGCCCCTGAGGGCACCAGGCATGGATGAACTTATAAACAAAGCACTCATACACATAAAATAGAAATGAATCTAAAAAAGTCTCACCAGCAAAGCTAAAAAGAGAGATGTTGATGGGAACTCGCTGGAAGAGGAGGGATTCAGGCTAGAGCTGTGGCCTCGCACCCTAACTTACCTACGCCGCGTGATATGTTATGCGATTTCTTTTTTAATCGAGGCAGTGAGAAGATGGCTTCTGAAAGACAAAAACTGTGGCTGGGTCCATCTGTTCCCTGAACACACATGTGAGAGTAAGCTATAAAAACACTCATTAGGTCAGCAAACAGAAATCAGTGTTCCAGACTTTAATTAGTGATGACAGTTTCCACGGTCCAGCCCAGCTAATGCTCTGTGTGAAGCCAAGCTGATGTCACTGGGCAGACGACCGCCCTCATGGCACCAAAGCACCATGAATGTCCTCCGCCCAAAGGACCGTGGTGAGATGAGTTCCCCTGCAGCACACTCATCTGTGAGAAGGTTACGACTTATCAGGAGCAGAGTGGCGGGGGTACCGGGGAGCCCCCTAGGCTTCCAAGAGACAAAAGCAGAACCACATAGATGCGGTTTCCTGAGCAGCTCATTGCACATTAGAGGTACCCGGCCCTCAGAAGGTCTAGATGGAGGGAGTGATGGCAGAACTCGATGGTACAGAACCCAGGCAGGTTGCCAGGCTCCTAAACCCAGTCACGTAACATCGCTTCTAAAATAGATCTTCCCTCGTTGTTAGTCCAAGAAATGGTGGGCGCTCTGACCCTGCTACTAGATTCTGAAAGCCTTTTCCCAAGAGAGACACCCTCACTTGTAAGTGACTCCTAAAATGGAACGTAGGAAATCCACAGGCCGAGAAACAATAAATTGATTACGAATAGATGGGAGCCTGGGAAATCAACAAACAGTGCAGTTAAAAAAACAAAACAAAAAGAAACAGGGCAATTCCCAGTGGGCATTCACTTACTCATCGCATTTGCGTGAAATCCTTTGGGGGTGTATCCTTTTTCTGTGCGGGGCATCTTTAAGGGATAAGACAATTTGCTCTAGGCTGAGGATACATTGACTTAGGTTGGGGTTCATTCTTGCGTTATCTCTTTATGTTTTTTTGTTATTATCATTTTTTATTAAGAAAATTTTTTTATTTATTTTACATACCAATTCCCTCCTCCTGCCCCTCCAGCCTCCCCCTCTCGACCGGTCACCCCCCATTCCCTCCTACAAGAAGGTAAAGCCTCCTATAGGGAGGTACATTTAGTAGAGGCAGGTCCAAGCCCCTCCCCCCACCTCAAGGCTGTGCGTGGTGTCCCATCATAGGTAGTGGGCTCCCAAAAGCCTCCTTATTCTTTACGCTTTATAATTACATTCTAGTATTTTTAAGCGGCAGTTGACAAACACTTACATATTCATACAGGTTACCCAGGAAGCCCACAAATGGAATTTCTTCCACCTGTATGGCCAGACACAGTCCCAACACCAATATCATCTTCCTGCCTTGCTGCTTCCAATGTTCTGTCCTTGAAAACCGGGGGAAACTCCTGCTGGGTGAAAGCATCGCTTTTATTTTGGATACAGAGGGATAATTGTACATCCCTGGCCGATACCCAATTTAAATACTGTCAAAACAGACCAGTTCAGCCAAGCATAGTGGCCCATGCCTTTAATCCCAGCACTCAGGAGGCAGAGGCAAGCAGATCTCTATGAGTTTGAGGACAGCCTGGTCTACATAGTGAGTTCCAGGACAGTTGGACTATTGGAGAGACCCTGTCTCCAAAAGAAAAAAAAAAAGGCAGCTCCTTCATCAATGAATACTGGTTATAATACCAGGACAAAAACAATGCCAGCTATCTGTGGTGTTGGGGCTTTTATTGTGTCCCTGGTGGTCCTCGTAGGGGATGCTCATAGAGTACCTAATAGCACTTCGTGTTGTTAGTCCAGGTGTGGTCCTGGGACCAGCCCAGCTTGAGCATCACCTGGAGCTTGGTCAGAAATGTAATTCATGAACTCGACACTAAACCCTCTGATTCAAAAGTGTCAGTGGAAGGGTCCTAGAAGTTGCACTGTGGCCAGCCCTCCAGAGACTTTGATATACACTGAAATCTGAGAACCACTGAAGTATTGGACTTTTCAGACCCCAAAACAAGAAGGAAAGAAAAAAGAGGAAAAAAGAATGGAGGGAGAAAGAGGGAGAGAAGCAGAAGCATTTCTTGTATATTAGCAATGTATGGATCCATTTTGTAAACCAGCAATGTTTGGATCCATTTTGTAAACCAGCAATGTATGGATCCACTTTGTAAACTAGCAATGTTTGGATCCATTTTGTAAACTAGCAATGTATGGATCCACTTTGTAAACTAGCAATGTATGGATCTATTTTGTAAACCAGCAATGTATGGATCCACTTTGTAAACTAGCAATGTATGGATCCACTTTGTAAACCAACAATGTTTGGATCCATTTTATAAACTAGCAATGTATGGATCCACTTTGTAAACTAGCAGTGTATGGATCCATTTGTAAACCAGCAATGCATGGATCCACTTTGTAAACTAGCAATGTATGGATAAGTAAGAGGAACACAGCAGTCAAAAATGAAAACCAACCACGCAAAATTAGTGATGCAGGGGACGTCCAGCTTCACAGAACTCTTAGTCACAAGATGGGACCCACAAATCACCTCCTGCAAACACCGTGAACTGTCACATATATAAGGGGGTGGGGAGAAAAGATGTTATTAACAAAATTTTATTTAAAGTAAAAAAATGCTTATTACTAGAGTACATTTTTTTTAATTTAAAACTAAATGGCCACATTTTCAGGGTGACTTACCAAAAAAACAAAAAAAAAACAAAAAAAACAAAAACAGATTTTTAACCCAAAATTCACCGCCACGGCCTTTTTAGCCATAGCTTGGGACACATCCTTGGATGTGTTCTGCAGGCCACCAACTCACTATTCATCTCTGTTTTTCCAGCAAAGGGTTACCTTCCAGCTCAACCTTCACCTTGGAAGAGGGAACCATCTACCTGACTGCTGAGCCAAACACCCTGGAAATGCAGGACGACAACGCCTCTGTGCTGGACGTCTATTTAGTGAGTGACTTTCTTCTGTTCTTCTCACATCGCTCCTTGGGGATTTTAGAGCAATGATTGCCTCCTGTCACTTCCACAGATGACAAGTCTTCCCCATCTTACGTTTGTTAGAACTTTGGCAAGAATTGGTAGGTTAATTGTTGTTTCAACTTCGGCACAGTGGCTATGACGCCCTAATCTACAGCTATCTCAACCAGCAATTGCAACTCCACGGTTACCAGCCTGCTTCTCTAGCAACAGCCTGGCTGCTCAGGCCTCAGCCTGGCAGGAATTCTGTTCCTGCAGGCACAGGCTCTGCTGCTGCCACTAAAGGTAGCTTTAGCTAAATCTCTATCATTCCACGTATAAATAAGACCTGAGATTCAAAGGCTGGGGTGAAAACCCGCTAGCTCAGAAAAGCAGAGTAGCAAAAAGCTAGCCTTCTCTCCTTCTTGGTGTCTCCAAAAGACCCATGCTTCCACTCTGCCAAACAAGAAAAACCTGCACCACTCCAAATCCCTCCCACCTACTTCCTGTGTGTGTCTCTCTCTCTCCTGGATGCCCTCTGATGCTCTATGATTACTTTCTGTCAATTAATTGCTAACTCAGCCTCCTAACCCAAGGTTAATTTTATTTAATCTATGCAAATGCAAACACGGGGTTCACAGTGTGATAGACTATTCCCCAACAGTCAATACTCAGCAAATATAAACAGAGGGCAGATCTCATGAAGTGAAGGCAAAGCAGGATGTCTTGATTCCATTCCAACATAGTAAGCTTGGCCTTTGACTCAAGTGGTGCCCTCATATTTGAATCTTCTTTATTTTGGCATTGCCTCTGTGATAAAGCAGTAGGCTGGATGGCACAGAAACAGGACTTGGGAAGAACTCAAATTTGGAACTGAAAAGTTGTCTACCTGACACCATTCAGAGTTGTCACCAACTGGCTGTGTGATGGGTCTGACTTCTTTGACTGTGCATCCTTATCTGACAGAGAACAGAAATAATGCCTGCCCTGATTATCTCACAAGGCTGCCTTGAAAAAACACAAGTGGGGGGTGGGGCTGGGGGCATCCTCCATTAGTGCTTGTCAGACTGTCTGTTCCACCTTTGTTGACTGTTAGGTGGTGCAAGAAGAATACCTTGGCAGGCTGGAAGCAGTGTTTGTCCTGCAAATTACATCCCACCCACATCCTCCACATTCTGTACACATGCCCAACGTCACATGCAGCAGGGGGGGTGTTGAGTGGAATGGCGGATGTCATTTGGAATGTTGTGTTTTTAGGTTTAAACTCAAAAGGCCCTGCGTTCTGTAGTCAGGCCTCCTCTGCTCACACGGCCCTCCTCCCATGCCTTTTGTGTTCCAGCCACACACCACCTCAGCGTTCTTCCCACACACCAAGCACTGTCTCCGGGTCTTTGCTTTGCTGTTCTTATCTGTGTCTCTCTCTTAGGGCCAAACCATGCTTATCCCCTTGCTTCCTTCCTTCCTAACTCAGCTCAGACGTCTTTCTATCTCAACCAACTCTGGAAAATAGCAGCCCCAATGACAGCAGCCATTGTGAAGGGTGGTCTTTATGGCCCCTAAATATTATTATTCCTTTTTTTTTCTTTGTGAGACAGGGTCTCTCTGTGCAGCCCTGACTGTCCTGGAGTTCATTCACTATGTAGACCATGCTGGCCTCATGCACAGACATCTGTCTGCCTCTGCCTTCCAAGTGCTGGAATTGAAGGCATGTGTTGCCCCAACCAGTTTTTTTCTGGTTATTTTTTAATGCTCTAGTACAGCAGTTCTCATATCTGTTGCTCTCAGGACCCCAATACATCCTTGAAAATCACTGAGGACCCCAAGAATCACTGAGGGGGCCAGGTTATGTCTTCAGAATTTATACGGAAGATGTTTAAATATTCATTGACTTAGAATAATGAAGATCATGATAGCTAAGTAATACTTGTATGAATATAACACATGACTTGATTTTACAAAATACAAATAAACAGTGAACATAATAGCATCATCATTTTACTTCCTGCAAAACCCTAGCATCTCTGGCTTAATAGAAGCTAGAGTGGAGGCTCCTGTCTTATCTAGTTCCATAGCAACTTTTTTGTTTGGTATTGTTGTTACTGTTCCTTCAAATAAAGGCTCAGTATATAGCTCAGGCTATCCTCAAACATACAATCTTCCTGCCTCCTCCCCCGACTCCCAGGTCCTGAGATTACAAAAGTTGCGCCTCCACACTGGGATTATTTTTGTATGAACTTCTGGAAGGAATTTTACTGTGGATGTAGAAAAGGATAAGATGGAAAGCAAACAGCATGTGAGCGCCGGTGGGAAAGCATTTGACCGACTGGCTCCTACACAGACAGCTTTTCTAGGTTTTGAAGATGGCCTCTTCACCTGTTGCCAAACCAGATGAGTTGTAAATGAAAGAGAGCTGGGCACCCAGAGTCAGTGCCTGCCTCTGTTTCTCAGGGATCCCTGACCTCCGGTTGATCGCCCTCTTTGGACTTCAGTTTTCTCCTCTAGTAAATGGGATATTGAATGTGCTCTAAGACCTAAGACATTCTGAATCACACAAGTTGCCCAAGGATGGCTTTCCAGAGAAGCTACAGTTGTTCTCCAAACTCTGCGGTTTCATCCCTTCCTCTACCACTAAGCTTCACGTGAACTTTAGGGCAATACATCTAGACCATTCGGACCTGTTAACCTGTAGTTTGGGGATATGTTTTCTTGCTGGAGATATTTTTATTATTATTATTTTGAATGCTGTCTTACATAAGAAAAGACTCGGCTCATTGCCCGTCCTTCGGTGTTTTCATTTGTCTCTACATTATGGAAGAGTGATAAGAAAGAAAATCCACTCTGGCTTGGGCAAGTTCTCTCTCCTTTCTTTTTGACCTAATTCAAAAGCTCTGGATCCCAGCCATTTTTATCCCAGCCATCTTTAATTGAATGTCCCTTGCGGTTTCTGTGATGACATTCTGTTTGGTGCTGTGGCCCAGTGAAGTCTGATGTCTCGTGTGAGGTTTTCCCCTTGAAGATGCAATGTTTCTTTATTAGTAGTGATATCTTAATCCACTTTGTGTTTAACTGATCCACTAAGGATTTATATTCATGTGAAACGTGCAGATTTAAACCACATTGATTTGTACACATCAGATAACATGAAGTTTCCTTATAGGGACCCACCCAAACTTGTGCCTGTGGGCTAAGGCAGCCTTGTGACTGTTCTCTGTAATTTGAACGGAAATTTAAAAGGATGGTTGACCTTTGAAGAGAGCTAACAGTTTCATCATCCATATTCAGGTGTTTAATTCAAGTCCCACCCAAGCTTCCTCCCACACTGCTTTCCAGAGGTCCTTCAAATTCTCCCGGTATTGCGCCCCCCTCCCCCAGAAACCAATGAAGCTTTCTGGTTCATTTGCAAATATTCAAATCAAGGGAGATGGCTTTTTAAGATGGCTTTATCCAGTGACCAAGGATGTTTCCTATTGAATGCTGAGCTGATGAGACGCAGATTAGGGTATTGAAAAGAATACAACAGGCCTGAGTACGCTGCACTGATGGAAAACGGTCACTTCTGCCGTCTTCCTAATGGGACGGTCGCAGTATTGTAAGGCCCGGATGCTATTGCTCAGATCCTACGGCAGCCCTTCTCTACCTGACGCAGAATGCAATTTGATGCTGCTGGAAAGAGGAACAACAAAAGCCATTCCCACTGGAAAATGGAGTGGGAGAGAGAGTGCCCTTTTGTGGCTCCCTGGAAATGGGCTGGGAGTGAGAGACGAAGGGACCGCATTTTCAATAACAGACGTCTGAAGGATGGTGCCGCCCAGCAGCCCCTTCTCTTCTGTTACTCGCTCCCTGAGTTATACCCTACTGCCCTCACACATTTCACGTTAGCATCCTCTCAAGAACATAGCCTTTCCCTGCGAAAGCGCTTCTGCAAAATGGCTGTTTGAAGTGCAAAAAATAGCTGGGTGTAAGGAAAAGAAACAGTTAAGCCCTTTTTTTTTTTAGCCTTACCCGTATTGGAGATTAGCGCCGTGACAGACAGCCCTTGGACGGCTTGATGATTCGGTGTTTGGGGTGGTTAATGGTACTCTTTGATCATAGGAAGAAGGGAGGCAAAGAAAGTGAGAATGATTGAATTAACAGCTGCCACACCAGTGTGGACAAGGAAAGCCTGAGAAAATAGGAAGACAAACACTCAACAAATTAGGTCACTGGGGTCTTAGAAAATTCACAGGAGGTTTTGGCAAAAGAAACTGCGTCCCTGAGTTTGAATCCTTAGGCTTGGAGATGAATGACCCCCGCACAGCAGCGGTTGGGTCTCCTTAATCATTCCTTGCTTAAGCCAGTATGGGCTGCCCCAGGGGGTGTTGATTGGAAACAGTGACATTTCCACTGCCTCTCCGGATGGAGCTGGATTCCCAGCAACCCGAGGTACTGCTCACGTGCCCAGTGGGGTTTTGTGAGGGCAGAAAATGGAGAAAAGGCACACAGCTCCTCGGGTTTGGAAGTTCTGAAATGAAATCCTTTTCCCGATTGTCACATGCTCGCACTGTGCGGAACTAAGATTTCAGAAAGAGTAAAATAGGGCCCTTAAAATGCTTGGCTCCTCAGTCATTTGACTAAATAATCTTTTTAAGACACATGAAAGAGCTGGGCGGGGGTGGCACATATGCAGACATGGTGGGGCACACCTTTGATTCCAGTGCTCAGAAGGCATAGGTGGGGGGCAAGATGTCTGTGAGTTCGAGACCAGCCTGGTCTACATAGCAAGTTCCAGGTTAGCCAAAGCTTTGTCATGAGACCTGGACTCAAAAATAAAATAAAGCAAAGGATGTTCCTGCATGTGTGTTAGCACACTCACGGGTGACGGCTGTTCCTGAAATAGGATGATGTATGCTTCGGGTCTAAAGTGACCAGCCTGTCTGGATTAGGTGCGCAATCACAGGATTTTTTTTTTTTTTTTTAACAGACAGCATCTAACTGCTGTGCAAAATTAGAATTGG